AGGAAAACCTCAGGGGTCCCTCAAATCTGCGAAGTGCCTTTGGGGATGAACATTGCCTGTCCTGCCTCATGTGTCCAGGTGAAAATTCATAACTTTTATAAACCTCTCTAACAAATACTCTGTCAAATTCTAGTTTTTATTTTATTTATTTATTTGTTTATTTTGTGTGTGTGTGTGTGTGTGTGTGTGTGTGTGTGTGTGTGTCTGGTGTATGATGTACGCTGAGGGCAGAAGCTGACATTGGGTATCTTGCTCAGTTGTTGTTCACCTTTTGAGAAAGGGTCTCTCCCTGAAACTGATGCTTGGCTATTGACAAGACTAGCTTGTTGAAGAGCTCAAGGAGTCCTGGGACCCCTATCACATGTGTTAGGGGCCTATAAGCATTTTCATGTCTAGGTGTTCTAGCATGTTGTCCAGGCAGAAGAGACATTCTCTAAGTTTTAGCAGTGCAGTGACTGGTCATTGTCATCTTGTTACTCCTTCGGGCCTCTATAATTCATAGATTGATTGCTTAGGCTATTCATTTACATGTATACATTTCATTTCCACAGTATGCATGTGTTAATTCTGTATAAATCTACCCTGTTCTCCTTTCCCCTTGCCCTGGCCCAATCCAAGACTGGTTTTCTCTGTGTAGCCCTGGCTGTCCTGGAACTAGTTCTGTAGACCAGGTTGGCCTCAAACTCAGAGATCAGCTGCCTGTGCCTCCTGAATACTGAACTTAAAGGCATGCTTATCTCTCTAAGATTTCTTTCATTTTTTAAAAAAGATTATTTATGTATATGAGTTTTATGCATACAGTGCTCAGTCTTCGTGTTTGTCTGCAGGCTAGAGTAAGGCATTGGATCTCATTACAGATGATTGTGAGCCATCATGGGGTTGCTGGGAATTGAACTCAGGACCTCTGGAAGAACAGCCAGTGCTCTTATCCTTTTAACCATCTCTCCAGCTCCCAAGATCTATTTCTTTTTATATGAGTATTTTGCCTGCATATATGTAAGCACACCTTGTGTTTGTAAAGTACTCATGAAGGCCAGAAGATGGGAAGATGGTGATGTACCTTCTAGAACTGCAATTATAGAAAGACAGATTATTGCTAGGACTAGAATCTGCATCCTCTGCAAAAACAAAGTGCTCCCTCTCTCTTCTCTCTACCTCTCTTTCATTCTCTCTCTCTCAAGAAAGGGTTTCGCTTTAACTTTGGAGCCTGTCCTGGAACTCATGCTGTAGTTCAGATTGGTCTTGAGCTCATAGAGATCTCCTGCCTCTGTCTCCTGAGCACTGGAATTAAAGATGTGTGCCACCAATGCCTGGCAAAGTGCTCTCAACCACTGAGCCATCTTCCCAGTCCTTATAAATCTCTCTTAAAGTAGGCAGAGCAGTGGTTTACACAAGTAGGCACAAAAGAACATTTCAAGACCTTACTATTATTTTGGATACACCTTAACCAATTTTCTTGTTTTAATAATGAAGTAATTTCTTCAGTTTTCTGATCTTCTTGACTAGTGAAGGCCAGCCCAGTGACTGAAATGGATGCCCCTCACTAGTCCCTGAAGTACTTCCCAGGGTAGGTATGGTTTAAAACAAAAAGCACAACGTAAGATTAGGGATGCCATTTGAGAATTCCCCCAATTTCCCCTGGAGGCTGTGGGTTGCCATTTTCAGATCTCTACAAGGTACTGAATCCATTTGTCAGTCCCTGGAGGCTGACATTCTTAGATGCCAGCTCATCGATGTCTTTTGTGCTCCCTCCTCCCACATAGAGACCTGCCCAGCCCTTGGTGTTCCCACATTACTTTTTGCATGGCTCTTTAGTACTTGGCACTTGGAGGCCTAGATGATTTATATGAGAGCTTCACCTACCCCAGTGTTGTATCACAGCGTGCATATGTTCAACAGAGTTCAAACCTTTCCTGTCTCAATCCCTCAATCCAAAGGGCAGGCTTCCTTAGCTCCTTCACATCCTGTGGAAAGGTTGCAGGAAGGTGTATTAGTTCAGCTTCCATAAAAACATCCCAGACAGACAGGAGGTATATTTTTATAGGGCAGATGTATTTTAAGGAATCCATTCAAGACTGGCAAGGGTAGGTGGTAAGCTGGAGAGGGAGAACAAGCTGATGATCAAGCTAAAAGTCTGCTAGCAATCCCTTTCCTTCCTTAGAGCGTAGTAGTCTTGTTCTAGTCTAGCCTCCTACTTACTGGACGAGACCCAATCACTCAAAGATTACTGACTGAAATTAAACACCACCCAGACACCTTCCAGATACATCTAGAATGAAGTTTCACTACGAAGGCATCTGGCCCAGCCCAACCATTGCAGGCAAGTTAGGCTGTTCTGTGCAGTTCCTTTTATCCTTTATTGCTGCCTTTGCTTTTGGTGCTGGGAACTTAGCGACAGGCAAGTGCTCTGTTAGTTAGAGCATGCTCAGCAGTCTTGCTGCTGTCCTTTCGATGATGCTGACCACGGAGTTCTAGACAAGGTTGCTGATGGATTCTGCTCTGTTGCTCTAACGGAGGGGGTTGGGCGGGGTTTCTGTGAGCCACAAATCACCTCTACTGAGCGTCAATCCTGCCTCAAAAAAAACCAACCCTTGTCCCCACAACCCCCCAAACCAAACCAAACCAACACAAATTCCCCCCCCCCCCAAAATCATTATCAGAATTGTAAGAGATTCTGCATAGTCACTTAATCTCCTGAAACATGATTTGTTCTTAATATTTTACAACTGGAAAAAGTATTTTGCAAAGTATATATGAAGCTCTGTATTTAATTGTTTTACTTTCATTCACTCAATAAATATATATTGGAGAGTAGTCTTTAGCATTTTCTTTCTTGCTTCAGATTCTGGCTCTGTCCTAGCTATATTATTTGCACAGATAGCTCTTCTCTCCTGGAACAAAAGTAGGTGTGATAGTATCCCCCTCTCCCTTGCAGTTGGGACCCCTTCTTCCCAGCTCTCTTGGGTATTCTACATTTTCTATCCCAGGTCCAAATGATATACAGGAACTGTCACACAGGTTTTCTATAAGTAATAAGTTGTAGTTACCATTACAGTTGGAGTACAGAAGAGGAAAACAAAGGCATGGCATGTTGGAACTTGGTAGGGTATATCTAAATCAACCAATAATTAGATATGTGTCCCGACAAGTTAAGTTTTATAGGAAAAACAAGGCACTATATTTGAAATCATGGTTATCTAGTCAATATAGAAGTAGTCTCACCATACTTAAAACAATTTTTAGTTCTAAAACTCGTGACGGGATATTATTTGAACAAGGAGGCCAGGAAAGAACCAGGGTAGGATGCACACCCAGTACTTAGATGTGGGTAAAATGTAGAGCAAGACAAGTGTATATTTAGTAAAATGTGTGGACAAATATGGGACAACTATCATCTAAATTAAAAATCCTCTCATTGCTTTTGATTGCAGAAATCAAGTAACAATTAACAAGAGTTACTATCTATGATACAATGTTTTAACACATTTCTTATAATGTAATCTTTGCACATCTTCTCTGGAAACTAGAAATCATTTCATTTTCCCAAAAGAAAATCGTGGTATAATGTCCTCAAAATGACACAGCTTTCTGGGGTGGAAAGGATGGATCAGCTGGTTAAGGGACTTGTTGCCTTGCCTGAGTTCCCATTCCATCCCGAGAATCCACCGAAGTCTCCTAGTTACCCTCTGGCCTCCTTTGACCCCTTTTCGAACTCACGACAAAATACAAAGTATCAGCTGCAAATTTGGAGTCTGAGTTCAAGGGACTCTATCCATAGAAAAGCACCCGCTGTTTATAGTGCCTGTGGAGAGTAGTGCACCGCTGCAATCACTCCACAGGAGGCCTGAACACCTGGGGGGCGGGGAGGGGGGATACCCTGAGGGTGATAGCTCAGACTGGTAAACCCAGCTCATGGGAGGCCGAGGCCCGATTGCCCAAATCCTTGAGCAAAAACCAATCTGGCGGCTAGTTCTGTCATGCAGAAACTTTAAAAAACGAAAGTTATTTCATTTATTCTTTTATTAATCTTATTTTAATGAACCCACGGCAACAGTTTATCCTATTATCCAAGTCTTGTTAAATACGACTATTCGTGGGCTGTTTCTGATTTTTGCAAACCCGTACACCAAGAAACGGATCGGGGCCCGCCCTTCAGCATTGCTCGCAAGTGATTTCAAAAGCGAAGCTGCTTTTTCCTGTGATACACAGCCCGTTGGCTTCAGCACAACTGGGCGCTCCCACGGACCCGTTTTCCATCCTACAGAGAAATCCAGGCTCGCCCTCGGGACCAGCAAGCAGAGTTGGGAGCTGGGGCGGCAGGCACCCACTGAGGTCAGGGCTGGGCGTGAGTCTCGGCTCCCGGCCCGGGGCCCGGCCTCGTTTACATTTGAATTTCCCTGAACGGTCAGCAGCAGCAGGAGGCGGCGCAGGCCCGGCCCCGGAAACCTCGGGCTCTTTTCCCGCCACTTGCAGGCCCGGCCCTACCAGGGGTCCCCAGGGGGCCTGCACGACAGCCGGCGGGCGCTGGGCTCCAGGCGGAGGAACGAGCAGTTCGAGGCGCCCCTCCCCGCCACGCCCAGGCCGGAGCGCGAGGCCGACGGTTGCCCCAGGGTCAGATTTTGAATTTGCAGGCCGGGCCCTCCCCTCGGAGCCGCCGGGGCGCGCGGCGCGCTCGCCATTGGCCGGCGGCGGTCACGTGCGCGCTCCGCCATGTTGCGGAGCGCGGCCCGTGCCACCTCCGCCCCCCCGCGCCTCGCCTCCTGCCCGCCCCTCGCCGCCCTCCTCGCAGGCCCGCCCGCCGCTCGGAGCCGCTCGAGAGGAAACAAAGTGCAGCGGGCGGGAGACGACTCGCGTCCGCGGCGCGCACCCTCTCGGCCCCCGGGGCTGCTCCGGCCTGTCCGTCCCCGCGCGCGTTGGCGAGCGTGCGTGTGCACTCACAAAGGGCGCCTGGCCGGCGATCGCTCTCCCCGCCGCCCTCCCGCCTCGCTCTTTGTGCCGTAGCCGCCGCCGCCGCCGCCCCAGGCGCACTCGGTCCCCGCCGGCCTGCGGTTTGTACCTTCGATCCCGCCGCCCGCCATGGCGACCGCGACCCCCGTGCCGCAGCGGGCCGGCAGCCGCGCCAGCGCCCCCGCCACGCCGCTCAGCCCCACGCGCCTGTCGCGGCTGCAGGAGAAAGAGGAGCTGCGCGAGCTCAACGACCGCCTGGCCGTGTACATCGACAAGGTGCGCAGCCTGGAGACGGAGAACAGCGCGCTGCAGCTGCAGGTGACCGAGCGCGAGGAGGTGCGCGGCCGGGAGCTCACCGGCCTCAAGGCTCTCTACGAGACCGAGCTGGCCGATGCACGCCGCGCGCTCGACGACACGGCCCGAGAGCGCGCCAAGCTCCAGATCGAGCTGGGCAAGTTCAAGGCCGAGCACGACCAGCTGCTGATCAAGTGAGTACGGGCTCGATCGTCACGCCGTGGGGCTCCGCGACGCCATCGGGCGCCGTGCACCGGGGAGGGAACGGCACAGGCCGGGTGGGTGCCTCGTCCTTCCGAAGGGGACAGGGCCCCCGTGTCTTGAAAGCAGGGGGGTCAAGGGAGTGACTCATAGCTGAACGGCGCTAGGGGTGGGGGTGCCTTGGAGGGTGCTCGAGTTGTAGAGACGGTGGGGTCGTGGTTATGATTTCTAGGTGGTTGGGTCGAATTTGGGGTCTGGCACTTGACCTCGGACCCTAGATCCCCCACCTCTACTCCCAACTGCGGGCCCCGGGTGCGGGGAGCTGGTGCCACGGCGCGCGCTCGAGTGCGCGCCCCGGTTTCCGGCGGGTGGGAGACAAAGCATCTGGTGGGTTTGCTGGGCCGGGGCGGCTGGGCCGGGTCGACTCTCCAATCGCCAGGAGAATGAATGAGTTCTAGGCGGGCGGAGGAAGGGGAGGGACCGGCCGCGAGCGTCCGCGGCACTCCCGGGGGTGGGTCTTGCTTTGGCGCGCTCAGTCTCGGCCCTGTGACATTTTGCCAGCGATCTGCGCCTGCCTTCCCTGCGCGGGAAGGGCGGGGACTGAGCTGCACGCCTTTGGCCTACGGCTAGCTGGGTTTCCTAGCTGGAGAGTTTGCTTTGCAGTAGGATGTCCTCTGGTGGCGCCCGGCTCCACTCCTCGTGTGCCCAGAGCACTAGATTCCTTAAACTGGGCTTCGTAGGCCACTACCGTCAAGCCATTGAGTCGCTTCAGTCTTGTAAAATAGTCTTTTCCCTAGAGACTGTGCTGCGGACCCACAGCCCACATACGTGCGGTGTGTTGTGCAGTAAGCAGGCCACGGAATAGGTGATTGAGTGAGGGAGAGCCCGTAATCCTAGTGGGAACTGAGTTTTCAGACCGAGATACACCTTTGCTGTCCTTTCCATGGCCTTCTGATGGGTAAAATGTGTAACTCAGTTGTGTGCAACAAGTGCTGCGATCACTCTTTAGATGTGCTAAATTTCATGGAATTCATGGTCTTTTGGGGAGGTGTCTGATTCAGATTTTGACCGTTTGCTCCCGCATAGCTTTTTGTACGTTATCTGACTCTTCCCCGACTTTTTTTTTTTTCCCTTTGGGAGCATGTATATCACCTTATCAGATGTTTACAAATGCCTTGTAAAAACGTATGTGGTAACAATATATAGGCTGGCTTAAAATGAACATTTACTTGTTTCCGGTACAAAATGTTACTCTGTTCTCCAGACTGGCCTGCACCTCTTGAGGGGGCTCAGGTAATATTTCCATGGTAACCAGAATCGGCAGGCATGGCCATCTAGCTTGCTTCACTGCCTCTGCCTCATTTTAAGTATATGTATGTCTGCACCACGTGTATTCCTGGTGCCTGTTGTGGCCAGAAGAGGGTTCGGGTCTTCTGGAACTAAAGTTACTACTGACTTATGGGCCACCACGTGGGTGCTGGGAATGGAACCTGGGTCTTCCTGAAGAGCATCCACAGTGCTTCTCTAACCGCTGAGTCATCTCTCCAGCCTGTTTGTTTTTTGAGGCAAGAGACAGTTGTAGCACTGGCTGGCCTGGAGTTCTCTGTAGACCAGGCTGGTCTCTAGATCACAGAGATCCACCTGCTTCTGCCTCCTAACTGGAATGAAAGACTCGCCTGCTACTATGCCCAGAGTTCTTTTGTCCCTCCTTTCCCCCCCTCCCTCTTCTTTGAGATGGAGTTTTCAGATGCTGAAACTGGTCTTCATCCTCCAGAGTTTCAGCAGCTGTCCAATCTTGCACATCTCCAGTTTGGGGGCTAAGGCCCAGTGTCTGCCCTCAAAGCCATAACCATCTATTTCTGTTTCTTGGATTCACCAACAGTGGGATCATCTTTTGAAATAACCACTCATTCACTGATACTGTTTTCTCTGTACTTTTTTCCCCTTAGAGACAGGATCTCAACTACATAGTCTTGGCTTGCCTTTGAGTTCTTAGTGCTGTGATTAAAAGTGCGACTCACCTTCCAATTTTTATTTTATTTCTTCAAATTTTTATATGTCCCTGCTTGTAAAACTTGGGTTATGGGGATGGAGAGATGGCTCAATGGTTAAGAGCACTGGCTTCTCTTTCAGAGGACCTGGGTTCAATTCCTGGCACCTACTTGGCTGCTCACAACTGTAACTCCAGTTCAGGGAAATCCATACCCTCACACAGACATACATGCAAACAAAGCACCAGTACACATAAAAAAAAAAAAACTTGATTAGTATGTGTATCACTAAAAATAAAAACAAAATCAGGGCCAGCCGGTGTCTTGGATCCATTCTCAATTTCAGAGATGTTAAAATGTTAAATCAAACATCTGGTATGTACCAGTTACTGTTTTGTGTGTTGAGGTCACAGATTAAAAAAAAATAAAAAATACCTAATGTCCTAATTTTAGGGTACAGTGGAGGAGACCACACAGCAAAAAAACAAAAATTGTCTGTGTAGTCTGAGGCATTTTGATGCTGGGACTCTGATAATCTTCCTGGAGGACACTTTTGGAGGTTTGCTACACGGCAGTAATACTGCCACCTGGCGGGCAGTAGTTGTAAGTGTTATGAATCAGTCACACGTTGGCTTCAGCAGTGTTCAAAAGTGAAAAGAATGTAGGATTATTTATATGTTTTAGAGCAAATGGTGTAATTTAGGTGATAACCAATGAAAGCAGAATAAAGTTGAGCATCAAAGGAATAGTACAGTCAAGACATGCCTATCTGAGAGACGGCAATTCAAAGTCTTGATTTCAAGTAGCATCTTGGGTTTTTGTTTTTCTAGATTTGTGCCACAGTATATATACTTGAAGTGTCAGGATTAGGTGTTAGCTTCCCATTATTTGGACTGTCATGTCTTATACCAGTTTTGTTCCTAGGTTGTTCATTTTCTTTCTGAACCAAATTACCTTCATATCTTCAGACCTTTGAAGACATTCAATCACAATATCTGTAAAACAAATCTACATTCTTTTTTTGTTTTTGTTTTTCCTGAGACAGGGCTTCTCTGTATAGACCAGGCTGGCCTCATATTCATAGAGATCCACCTGCCTCTGCCTTCCAAGTGCTGGGATTGAAGCAATGCACCACCACCCTCCTGGCACAAATCTACAATTCTGCTGTTACCTCAAACTCTGCTGTTTGTTTAAGACAAGGTATCACTCTTTATCCCTGCATGACCTGGGACTCGGAGAGCCTGCCTCTGCCTCCTAAGTGCTGGGGTTCAAGGTCTGTGTTTTTACGATGTCTTGTTGGCTGCTGATACGTTGGAATCTATGGTCCAGTTTTCTGGATCATATATTTTCCTTTGTTTTTTTTACTCAGTTGAATCCACCTTTTAAATAACTTGTGCAGGAAGGGAGGCAGGGAATTTTCTGGGTGTCTGAGAATAACTCTTATTTGAATGGTAGTTGGGCACGATTAACGTTTTGTTTCAGTGCATAGATAGTGTCCTTTTCCTTGTCTCCTAGCATTCATTGCTATTGGTGTTTGATGCTGTTATTTCTCGTTGGCGGTCTGCCCTAGTGTGCTCTCTGTTGCTGTGATAAGACACAGACCAAAATCAACTTGGAGGGGAGAGGGATTGTTTCACCTTGCACATTACAGTCCATCCTGGAGTGAAGTTAGGGGATTCAAGCTGAAACATGGAGCACTGCTTGCTTACCTGCTGGCCTGCTCTTCACAACTGGCTCAGTTCGCTTGCCCTCTTACCAGGGTGGCATGCTCCCAGTGAGCAGGGTCTTCCCACATCTGTCAGAAATCATGAAAATGCCCTCCATTGACATTTCCCCTTCTTGGACATTTAAGTTTGTGTCAAGTTGACACAAAGGAGCCAGCACACTGTCTCCTCTGCCCCATTCTTAGAAAACTTGGAAATTTTGTTGCAGTTTCTGAAATTGCCAGACCAGTGTCAGATATTCTCATGCGGCCTTGCTGTTCAATCTTAAGTCCTTTCAGTTGGAAGGCTTGGTTTTCTTACGGTTTACTTCTCAGGGTTGCCATAGCCCTTTCTGTACTCCATTTTCTCTGTCCTCTCTTGCGCCCCCCTTTTTTTTTTTTTTTTTTTTTTTTTTTTTAGGAATTGGCTGTGTCCCAGGTGCTGACATAGACTCCATCCACTCTTCCTTTTTCTTTTTTCTTATTTTGGTTTTTTGAGACAGGGTTTCTCTGTGGCTTTGGAAGCTGTCCTGGAACTAGCTCTGTAGACCAGGCTACCAGGCTGGCCTCAATCTCACAGGGATCCTCCTGCCTCTGCCTCCCAAGTGCTGGGGTTAAAGGCGTGTGCCACCACCAATGCCTGGCCTTCCTTTTTCTTTTTTTACTGGGAAATTACCTTAAGTCTTTCCTAGCTCAATAATAGTATTAATTTTATTTTTTGAGGTTGGATCTTTCTTTCTTTCTTTCTTTCTTTCTTTCTTTCTTTCTTTCTTTCTTTCTTTCCTTCTTTCTTTCTTTCTTCCACCTACCTACCTACCTTTGGCTGGCCTGGAACTCACTGTGTGGAACAGTCTGGCTGATCTTGAATTTAAATAGATCTGCCTGCCTCTGCTTCCCAAATGCTGGAATTAAACGGTTGCACCATCATACCCATCCTATTTATTATTAGCTGTTAACTTGTGGGTGGGGATTGTGGATGTGTATTCTAGGGCTAGTGTGTGGGGGTCAGAGGATAATTCTGTGGGCCCTGTTTCCCCTGTTTATGTTTCCATGGGTTCTGAAGGTTCACTTTGGGCTGCCAGACTTGCTAACAATCTTTTATCATCCAGCCATTCTACCAGCCCAGTAACCAGTTTTCCTTTTGGGATAGGGTCTCACAGTGTCACCTTGGCCGGCCTGGAACTCTGTGTAGAAGAGGCTTGGATTAAAGGCCTGGGTGCCACTGTGCCCAGTGTAGTCTGTCTTCATTGGTGTCCTGGGAGAGGGATAATGACAGGAGAGTGATCCATCATTTTTTAAA